CTTCATTTGACTCTAAAATCCCAGACTGAGATTTAAGTGGTCAGCAAATAGAGAACACATTTTTTTATTTATAAATCAATTGCAAATAAACGAAATTATAAGGCATGCATAAACAGACCAGAATTCAGCTGTGGTTAAAGCATGTGCTGACATTCTTGTTCTAACACCACGCAGGAACCATGGGTAACACCAATACAAGAGCACAGGCTTTAGCACATGCCTGTGATTAAAGTATGTCCTCTAGGTCTCGGTCTCTCTCATTGCTAACACACACTTGAACTGCTGCACTTTCATTCTGAGCGAGTATTTCAGCAGATTCTCTTTTCCAAAGAGACAAACCCTTTAGAAATCCCAACACACTCTAGAGCTCCAACATTTAAAACAACTTTTCTCCAAAACAAGAAAGGGAGAGGCCAAATGCGTCTAAAGGGGGTTAGCTGTGTGCATGAGAGATCAATCATCAAAACTTTCCCAGATGGTAGAATCTCCTAATGTGGGATAATTATTTAACAAGAAAGGAAGTACATTTCTGATTAGTGCTCTCCTGGTTAATAAAGTAGCAAAGCTTAACAAAGGTTGAAACAGTTTTAAAGAGAGAAGTTAATATAAATACAAGTATTAGAGTACCTTCTCTGGCCACCAGAAAAATTTAAGGGACTGCATAAGCTATAACAATAAAAGGATCAGAAGATCCAAATAAAAATACTGGAGGGCACTTAATAAGCCTACAGAACATGCAGCTAGAAAAAATGTTTTTTTCACAAACTCATTCAGTCTTCAGAAAAATCTAAGCAAAAGGATCTTGTCAGTGCCTGAATCAGAATGTTAAACTCTTACTGCAACAGTTTTTAATTCCCAGAGATGCTGGTCTGAGCAATTAATGGTTTACATACAAAAATACAGTTGGTTTCACTGGTGGAACATCAATTACAACACTGGCATTAACAAAGGGATACTTAGACCCTCAGGGGGTAAGAACAGGGTAACTCTCTGTTAACTCCCACTTTGCCACAAGAGCTTCTACACAGGTCAGAGGAGGCACAGGATGAGAGGTCAAATGCTTAACTGCTGATAGCTGGAGGGAAGGTCCACGGGTTGCTGAAAACCTAAAGGCTTCAGAGACATCTTCAGGTTTTGGAAATGTTGCCTGGAAGGACTTTTTAAATTCTAATATTCTAATTATCAACAAACTCCACTTTCTGTATTTTCACAATGCAAAGCAGTTTAAAAAGATGTGCCACTAGAAAGATACAAAAATATATAGGTAATAGCAAATTACCAAGTGCTTATTACTGCTTTAATATCAAGAGGAATAAGAATTATGTGGCTGTGATAATTTTATGCTTCCTTCTGCAGATGAATGAAGATTTTCTGTCTTAAAACATTTGCATTCCCCCTCCCCCTTAAAGTAATTTCCAATTTTGCTGGAAACAGCACAATTGCATCTACTCTTTCAGCTGCAATGGGTTGTTGAAATTGAGCTATTGCCCAGCACCTGCTCTTAGTCAGACAGCTGAAATCAGAGGTTAGGGGAAAAAATAAAGATTTTGTGTCATTGTAATGCAAGTCTCCTTTTAGCTTTGCTGCAGTCAGTGTTCAATTATGTTCGGTAACAATCTCCATTACTAGAGCCAGTGTTTTTCTGTTCTTCTCTGCATGTATTAACTTTCTTGTTCACACGTGATAGCCTTCTTAGCAAAGCAGAGGAGTCTTAAGAGACATTTGCCCATAGATTTAATGAATCTACATCTTTTATTTTTTTGGCCTGTTGAGGATCCTAGTGTTAAAATGTATCTTCATTTTGAATGCTCCAAAGGAAGATAACTGATACAATAGAACTTAAATTGTTTCTCACTGAAAGCTTGATAGGTCAAAATTAACCTGAAATTTCATCTAGTCTATTGAATACAAAACATAGAATACGTAACAATGAAGGGCTCCCATGTAATTTTTTTTCCTGTGTGTATCCTATTTTTACAAGCTCAGGATCCTTCTCATTCAGAATTTTTATCAGTTTGCTGTGTAACCCAGATGTTTAAGATTTCATCAGAAGCAGGAACCAAGGCCCTACATCTGTAGGGAGAAAGCCACAAAGACTTCAACCAGCAAAACTCAGCAGCAAATGGGAAGGAAGTAGCTGGTGTGAACAGCTACTGGGAATGCAGGAAGGGGAGCCTTGCTTTTGAAGGACAGAGCAATGATACACGGACAGATAGCTCTGAGATAGGGGCCAGAGGGTGAGCAACACAGAAAGTCAGGGGCTGGGACTTGGGGAAAAGGAAATCCAGAGCAGGAAGGATTGGAGATGATTAGAAGGAGGATTTGAAAAGCTTAGAGTAGAAAAGGTTTTATTATAATATAGATACATTATAATAAATTGACCTTGACAAGAAAGGAGATGGATAAGGTGGAAAAGTTTCTGCCTAAAAATTAAGCTGTTAGAAAAGTGGAAATAATAGAAAACAGAGTATTGTAAACTCTTGAAAATTCAATTAGGAGTCAAATATTTCTTTTCTCCATCCTCCATTAAAGATCCAGGTCCTGGAGTCACATGGCTGACTCAGTTTTCAGCAAGGGGAAAAAAATTCTAGCTGTCATGCCTGCAGAGAAAACCATGAACGTTCAAAGCCTAAAAACAGTAACAGAATATAAACCAAAACATAATATTTTATTTTTTAATAAATCTCATTATTTGAATGTAGTATGTCTTTAACGTATATCTTTAACTTAAGATTTAACATTAGTGTAAACCTAGCAGCAGCTTCCTTAGCAGATAGCAGCTAGAGATCCAAAAAAAGATTGCCAGCTGATATCATAATCATCATCATCACATAATGACTGGCATGCTGGAATTATGGGTAGCTCATTTAAAATGTCATACATTCTGTATTCAACAGATTAACCCCTTCCCCATGATGCAGGAGCATACTGAGTGTTTACTTAGCAGCATCCAAACACCCTATGCACGACTCTGTGCAAAAGAGGATGGCAATGATTTCTCCAACAATAGTGTTACTCACAGGTGAGAGAGGTTCAGGCCACACACAACGCTACAGCGAGTCCTCAGTCTGTCATAGACACTCCCCCAAGCAGAATCTATACAGCATTAAGACTTTCCATGTGAAGTTCCAGACCCATCATCAACTATCCACATCTAATGCTTTGGGGTATATTGTTAAAAACTAAATGAAGATTTAGGTTTTGTTCCCAGCATTTGTCCTGGCTTTCTCATTTTTCAGTGCAACCTGACACAGAATTGTGACTCCAGTTTTCCAAGCTGCCATGTGCAAGAACAAACGAACGAAGATTCAAGCTGGAAGTTTTCCAGACATATGCAGAATTCTAGGAGATGCTGGTCTGAGCAATTAATGGTTTACATACAAAAATACAGTTGGTTTCACTGGTGGAACATCAATTACAACACTGGCATTAACAAAGGGATACTTAGACCCTCAGGGGGTAAGAACAGGGTAACTCTCTGTTAACTCCCACTTTGCCACAAGAGCTTCTACACAGGTCAGAGGAGGCACAGGATGAGAGGTCAAATGCTTAACTGCTGATAGCTGGAGGGAAGGTCCACGGGTTGCTGAAAACCTAAAGGCTTCAGAGACATCTTCAGGTTTTGGAAATGTTGCCTGGAAGGACTTTTTAAATTCTAATATTCTAATTATCAACAAACTCCACTTTCTGTATTTTCACAATGCAAAGCAGTTTAAAAAGATGTGCCACTAGAAAGATACAAAAATATATAGGTAATAGCAAATTACCAAGTGCTTATTACTGCTTTAATATCAAGAGGAATAAGAATTATGTGGCTGTGATAATTTTATTCCTCAAAAATTCTCCTTATCTTTATTCTTGTGGATTTGAATGCATCCTTGAAAAATCTGACCATCATTCCATATTCATCAGAATGGACCTAACAATTAAAATTCGCATAATCAAGTCAAATTTACAGCCCTGTAGAGGTACTTATCCTACATCTAACAATTTACCACTTTTCATTGATGCCACAACCACCATTTACTTCTAACTTCCACTTTCCCAACGTTGTAGGTCAGAAAACAAATGACAGATATGCCAGATCAGTCAGAAGCGCTGTTGTAACTGCCAACAAATCCTTTGGCTGATTCAACCATTTCATAATCATCTTACATTTCAGTGCACTGAGTCTCAGCCAAAAAGCCTTCATATCCATGTCTCAGTCCCTACCACAAAAGAGTAAAATCTGAAGACCTGGAACTATAACGCCATTATCAACAGTGATATAGAAAGCATCCAAATTCATACTTCTATGCTAATAGCCCCACTCTGAAGAGAAAGAAAATGCAATTTTAGGGGATGCCAAATGAAATAGCCCTCAAAATAGATGAAGTTTCTATTTATTCTACTACTTGGGGAAAGTGTAAAGAACGGAAATCTACAATAAAATTTACACATCCGTTCTTGTGGTTTTCAAAGCTCTCCAGACATATCAGTAAACACTCATAGTCAATTCTGTAAGACTCTATACAGATTTTAAAAGCTGCATGAACTCAGAATATTCATCCGTTTGCAAGATATTTCTGTTGCTCTTTTGTCACACTGTTTCCTTTTAGTAACGTAAGATTTAAAAAAGAACTGCTGAAAAGCTTTAAGAGATTTCCTACAGAAAGATCTAATTCCTTTCCTCCACATTAATGCTCTCCTGAGAAGCATTGCTTACTCCAAGGAAGTTACATTACTTCCTCAGTAGCTTTTATTAGGCAGTATGTTCAAGCTACAGGTGTAGCTACAGTTCAAGCTACACCTGTTCAACTCAGAAGATATCCAGAACAGTTCCTTCTACACATGAATAACTAGAAAAACAAGTCCTAGGAATATTAGTGAAAACATCGATTTTTAACAAGTATATGTTGTGAAAGAGACAATGAAGTGACCCGCGCAGCATCTGACACAAAGCTATGCATCAATCTAAAAGACTGCGTGCCTGCAATTTAATCCTCATTGTAAAGCCTTACCTTGCCTCCGAAATTCCTCGTCACTCCTACCGGAGCTGCAGTTCCACCATCGCTGCCTTCTGTAGCCTGACGAAATGCAAACCACACGTAGACATGTGCAGTTTATCTGCCGTTTTGTGACCATTGCCTAAAGGAATGTGACTTCAAATTTCAGGGTCCTGTGGCTGTCAGGGCAACTTACCCTGCTCACATTAGAGAAGGGGCACTTCCCACTCAGAGGAATCTGGCTTTATTTGAGGAAGAAATTAAATGTGTGAATAAAAAGAGTGTTCTATTTCTCCTTAGCAGGTAAATAGTGGATTTAACCTAATAAACACCTCTCTAGGGTAAGGACATCATCCTCTGTTGTTGTTGGGTGAGGTTTTTTTTTAAATCTACAGGGTTTCTCTTCCCTTCTCTCTCATGTATTCGAGAGAAGCTTCAGTGAACACGGCTACCAGTATTCCAATTTATTCAGCAGCAACCCCTGTGGACTGCTAACAGCAGACTGCGATTCTGCTTGGATTACAAAACGTAGATAAGTAATTCCATCCTTAATCTATCACTGTCAATGCCAGTAAGGGAACAACTTTTACCTGTGAGAAGTTAGGCAGAGGAAAAGATTAAGATTGGGGAAAAAAAAAGTGGGGGACAAAAGGACAGCAAAAATAGAGAGGACACAAGTCCATTAAAAGCTCTATGCGCAAGTGGAGTTAAGTAGGAAATGAGGGAATGAGATGAAGGACCACGGTGCTAACAGGAAAGTAGCAAACAGAAAGCAGACAGCCAGTTTCCAAGCAGAATTTTTCAACAGCAATGAAAACTCACTTCTAACATAATCTATGCCTTCTATTACGCTGATCCCAGTGTAAAATGGTAGAGATGTTTGAGACCTCAGTAAATGCTGATGGATACCACTACATTACAGCCACGATCAATAAATCTCAAGTACATAATAATGGAGCCTCAAAGCCTTCGCATACAGACCTGTCAGTAAACTGGGACAGTATTACAAATAGACAACAAAGGATAACGCAAAGACTGCAAAAATGGAACAACACAGAGACAAGTGCATTTCTTGGAGGATGGAGTGGAAGGCAGAAAAGATGAAAAAGAAGGTAAACCATTTAGACATAAGTGATAGAGAACATCAATAACCACGCACCTGTTTTATGTGACGGAGGATTCAGGAATGGAAGAGAAAACAGTGAAAGCAATAATGAGACCTGGGATTAATTCTTCTTTTCCTTTTTAAGGGAACCCTTAGTAATTACTCCATCAGTATCCTTTGCTACAGTCATCATGTACAATTAAAGTCTCTGCCCACTCAGGCTAATGAAGTCCCTTTCATGTTTTTTCACAGAAATAATATTTTTTACGTGCATATAAAAGACTACTTTGTTTTTTCTATAGGTACTTATTATTTTTATGTTATTTGCTTGCCTGGCAAATATGCCACATAGTCCTAAACATGTAAAACGGGTCATTCATATCAGAAAAGACAAAAAAACCTGCCTTCTAAGCATGCACTACCTTGAGGTTAAAATAAAACTTGGAAAAAAAATATTTTCAACCAACTCTAATCTTGGGACATCCAATCCTATAACCCAAATATAGATGCATTATTGATTATTCTCTTCTTCCCGAGCTTACTTGCTGCTTTCATAGTAAGCAAATTTCATGCTTCACAGTAAACCACCTAAAGCATAGCCAACCAAAGTTTATACTCTGGAAAAAGTTATTATTTTTATTAATAACATGCTTTCTAACAGCATAAGAGCTTTCAAAAAGATTAGAAGGAAGGGAAAAACAAAGAAGCTTCAGAGTCAGCTTTTTCAGCTCTAACCCAACCCCCTAAGTTTGACTTGGGCTGCTTAAGGAAGACAGAAGTTCAGTTTAAAGACTAAGAACAGGGCATATAAATAAAGTGTAGCCAAGGGATATCTTAGTAAAAATATTTGAAAAAGAAGAAAAACAAATAACCAGAGGAACCAACCTACTGCAGTGTGAAAGACTACAAAATTAACAAAGAGGAAAAAAAAGGAACAAAGTTCTGACATACTAAGAAGAAAGCTACTAAGAAATTGGCGAGCAAAGAGAGAGCTCTCTCCAGAAGAACAGCAACGGCTAAAAGCCAGAAAAATTCAGCAAGACTCTATGATTTTAAAAAGCATGAACTGGAGGAAAAAATAGTAGATGAAATGTTGGCCCTAGGCTGACACGAAATGTTGCTGAACTTCCACACTGGACACACCAGCCTCATAAACTGGCCGTTTGAAGTACACTGACCCAGCCGGCACTGTAGAATTCAGCGTATTTGGGGCCGAATTACAAACAGCCACAGCAAAGAGCAAAGCCCGGCGCGGTTCCCGCTCCCGTTTGACTCCAGCTCTGACAGAGCCGTGAACGAAATGACGAGACTCCCGCAGCCGGCAACGGGACACAAAACCAACCGCCCGCCCCTCTCCTCAGGGTGGGCCCCTCTCCTCAGGGTGGGCCCCTCTCCTCAGGGTGGGCCCCTCTCCTCAGGGTGGGCCCCTCTCCTCAGGGTGGGCCCCTCTCCTCAGGGTGGGCCCCTCTCCTCAGGGTGGGCCCCTCTCCTCAGGGTGGGCCCCTCTCCTCAGGGTGGGCCCCTCTCCTCAGGGTGGGCCCCTCTCCTCAGGGTGGGCCCCTCTCCTCAGGGTGGGCCCCTCTCCTCAGCCCTCATAACCGACGCCCCGCCCACCGCTAACGGCCGAGCTCGCGCGCCCCCCTTAAACCCGACCGTTGGTCACGCGCGCACGCGCAGAACAGGGCGCGCGGGGGGGATTAGTGCGTCCCAGCCGCGCGGGGCAGCTCATGCGCAGCAAAGCCCCCAGGCAAGCGTAGGGGTGAGGGCGCGTGCGCACGGGAGAGCCCATTCCTTGGGATGGCAGGCAGGACGCGGATGCTTCCCTCCCTTCCCTCCCGCTTGTTTTTTCCCTTCCTGGTGCTGCCGCGCCCCTCCTACATAGCTCTTGGCCCGTATCTTTATTATTTTCTGCCAAGTCCCCCGTGGGTTAATTTCCGCTCTGTGGTACGGTCCCCTGTGTTCTACCCAATGACAAACCGGTTCCTGATGACGTACTTAGTTGCCGGGCAGAAACTACTCCCTCGGTCCCAGTAACACCACGGCGCCACCCGCGGAGCGAGCTGCCCCGCCTTAGCGCCCAGAAGGGGCGGGGGGTCGCGTTTGACTGATAGGGCGTTTGGTGGGCGGGAAAAGGCAAGAGAACCAATCATAACTCCGGGTTGGCATTGATGAGCAGAGCTCTCAGCCAACCGAGCTGGGCGGGCTGAGGCCTCCTGAAGGAGGGCGGGGCTTTCGGTTGCTAGGGCCGCGCCGTTGCTAGGGCCGCGGCGAAGCGCGGTGGCGGCAGCAGCCGCTGCCATCCCGGCCCGCCGCCCCCTTCCCCGGGCCGGGGCGATGGTAAAGCTCGCTGCCAAGTGCCTCCTGGCAGGTGAGTCCAGCCCGTCGGGTCCCATCCGCCCCGCTGGCGGTAGGGGCCTAGAACGGCTCCGTGGGGTGGGGCCGAGGCCGGCAGCGGGGTGGTGCCGGGACGCCCAGGCCCCCTCGGTGAGGGGGAGGCCCGGGCGGGTGGTGGCGGGCCGCGCCGGGAGCCGGCCTGGCTTCCCTCGGCTCCCTCGTCGAGGGGTCGCCCCGGTGGCGAAAAGGTGGGAAAAGCGGTGACAGGAGAGAGGCGAGGACCTCGGCTCCCCCGAGACAGGAACGGTGGAGAAAAAGAAAAAAAATATTTAAAAAAAAAAAAAGAGTGTTTCCACAGTGTGTAAAGGTGGGGTGAAGGTGGGGAAGGCGTGAAGGGAGCAGGGTAGGCAGCCTCATACTCCCTTTGCGCTGGAGGAAAAAATCATGGCAGAAATTGGGATGAGTCTGGGAGCGTAAAGGAAAGATAGAGCCTCAGCAAATTGTTGAAGGGTGAAGCATGTGCACTTCGCAGAAGCATCTTTTTCCCCAAGCAAACAGGAGGTTAGCCTGGAAAAAAAAGTGAGGTGAAGAACACTGATTATTTAGTCAGAGTGGATTGTGCGGTGTTGAAAGTAAATGCAGCTGGTTGTTAACACTGCGGGAAGAAAGCTTTTTTTTTTTTTCCCCCTCTCTCTACATTGAAGCTCTATGCAGCCTCAGCCAGAAGCACAAATCCATAAAAACTTTGTGTGCAGACAACTCCCAAGTTTAGCTCTTTGCTCCAAACCTGTTTTCTTTCCTTCGGGGTAAAACGTTTGCTTTCTTTTTGAACTTGAAAAGCAGCTAACCATCAACTTGCACAAAGCTAGGTGTGATCTTTGGTAAATGCAAAAGATTTAATCTCTGTCATGCCTCTGTTGGTAGTTACTGTGGAGAGCACAAGCATCATACGTGTCTTCTAGATTTGAGTCTTAGAATCATTTCCAATTTGGAAGTTTCCAGGTTCCAATGCATAGGCTTTGCTTAAGTCTTTCCAATTTTGTTGTTTAACATTACCAGAGGCCAATTCCATGACTATTTTAAATTCACATAGGTTTTCTTTGGATGACCCAGTTATGTGCTTAATGCTAATTGGGTCTGGAGCTGCCTTTTCAATTCTGTTCACAACACAAACAACAGGAAGGACCTGTCCCATATGTAGTGCTTCTAAGTACTACAATAATATCCATGAATTTTTAAAAATAATAAATTGATGAAGCGGACCAGGCAAAATAATTTCTTTCTTGCAGAAGAGACCAACATAGAGAAAGAGACATAAGAGATGAGTAACCACGACAACCTAAAGGGAACAAGAAAAAGCAATTACATAGGTAGGAGCCCAAACATCAGAGATGGAACGGGGAACTCTTGTGTACCTAAGGAAATGGTTATGAAGAATAGAGCAGCTCCCAGTATTGGGAGCTGCACCAAGGTCAAAGAGAACAACAGGGGGAAAAGGCTTTTATTAGCAAAAGGGAGACTATTAACTTGACAATAGAAAGCGATTCCTGTGTTCTTTCAAGGGTAATTTACAGACACACAGTAAAATATATTGTTGTTTGAGCTTACTATGGAGACACTACCAAAAGGTTTTCATTGTAGAAAGGCAGTTGGCAGCAGTAAGCAGGCATTTTAGAGACACTACAGATTCTGGCAGAATAACAGAAATATGGTTGGAATAAATACTGTGGTATGCAGTACTGGCAGATGAAAAGGGCAAGGAAACTTATTTTGAGACAGTGTAGTGATGTAATGGGCTAAGAGGATGGCAAAGAATAAGGAGAGGGAAAGAACAACTGGGGCTGTCAAATTGAAGAAAGGCAACACATTAGTTAAGAATTTGCACTGGATGATGCCTGTGCAGTTTAGAGCAATGAATGCATCTCTATCTCATTTTACAAAGACAGATCTAATTGTCTATTGAAATACAGAATAGCTTCCACTCAGAACAGAGTGTTGTCTTCCGCACAAGCTTGAACTGATCAGGGAACAAACAAGCTGACTTACCAGATTTTCCTGTCTAAATATTATGAGCCCAACTCAGCTGAAAGTAAGCAAGCATGCTAAAAATGTTTAAACAAGAACTACATTTGGTTAATGCATCTAGGAGCAATTGTCACTATCCAAAACACCCTTCCTCCTGTATAATATTATGTGAGCAGATAGCTTTACCAATTTCCTTCCAAACACCTTCTAGGAAGCTATAGTAGGGTCAAAATATATAGCCTTTTCTGGGTTTATTTACTAACAATGTAAATGGTAATGTAAAAAACTTGTATTCCAGGCCTGGCTGTCATGAATGTTCCCTAAAGGGTGGGTAAAGCTAGAACCACTGAGGTATTTGATTCCTGGTTCCTGTCCTTTCAGCTATCTAGGCTAGTGAGACAGCATGTGAAGAGAGGTTAAGGCCTTTGGGAACATTAAATTAAGACTTTATTTTGCAAGGATTTTGATATTTTTCATGGAGTGATAAGGGCTTATGTGAATTCTGCAGTTCTTTGCCATTGCTTTGGATCTTACTGAGTTTTGTAACAGCAGGCCAAAGCAGGCAGCTGCCAGGTTTGCCCGAAGTGTTGTGCAAGCCATACCAGAAAGCCTTGGCTCTAGAAGAGCTAAAACTAAAGCCCCTTGGTTTTCCTTCCATACAGGGATGAATCAGCAGGCTCTTTCTCTCCAGTCAAGCGACATTTGCTTCTGTTATGCCCAGGATGCAACTAATGAGCCACCAGCAGCATTGAGTCAGCAAGAGTTGCTCTCTTAGCAGGGTCAGCAAGAAGAGTTCATCGAGGAATGTTACCAGCTTAAGCAGCTTTGTAGTATATAAATGACCTGTCTCTTCCCTAAACTCAGTATATAACAAGAATTTGAATCTGAGGAAATAGGTCATCTAAGGAGAGAAAATAGCCTATGCAGCTTAGTCTCCCTTATCACATTGTGTTTTTCTCTACATAATAACATATCTGGGAAATTTTCATTCTTAGGTAAAGACTATAGGGTAGACATGAATTTTAGAACAAACAGCAGTTCCGACCTGATCTAGGGAATCTTTACCGTTGTTTGTAGAGCAGAAATCTGATGTCAGCACCAGTATGCATGTGGCAATATTCATTTTCTCATGTGAGGATTACCTTTTAGATTGTTTTGTGCTTCTTGTGACGGTTATTTTGCCTGTATTCAGTTATATCATCCATGGCACGTGATAGTAACAGAACTGAAGGAAAATAAGATTCTCTAGGATAAAACAAAAATCTTTAATGTTTTTGGTTTTGCAGGAGATCCAGCTGTGGGAAAGAGTGCTTTAGCCCAGATGTTCCGCAATGATGGGGCTCATTTTCAGAAGAACTACACACTGGTAAGCATACAGCAGGCTCAATCTGTTATCCAACATTTTTCTAAGTTGCATGAAAGAACTAAGAAGGTCTAGGACAAAATAAATAATATGATTTTAAGTTGAGGCATTCAAGGTGGGGTCTTAAAGGGTTTTCTTTCTCTTACACCCTATATTTTGAAGAGAAGCCATTTACTTTAAGTCTTTACATTATGAAGGTGCTGGTTTTGAAACTTAACGCAGAGTAATTTAGTTAATTTTATAATTTTCCTGCTGAACCAATGTTTTCACAAGCTTTTGTGGTGTTAGAGAGCTTACCCCTTTAAGGAGTGCTCTATGAAAAAACATTGCTGAAGGAGAAAGCTTTTAATTCCAACTATTAAATGTGCGTGTGGACAGTGCGCTTATCACTATGCAAACATGAAGATGTGCTGCATAGCCCCAAGATAATTATAATCTACAGAAACTGTTCCCAGATGAAGAGGATACAGTTTGCAGTCTTTCAGTGTGAGAATCAATGGTGATGACTAATCAGAAGCAGGATAAAAATAAAAGTAAATATAAGTAAAGTAAAAAAAGGAAAATATGAGTGTGGAGGAAAAAAAAACCCTAAAATGTGTTTATTCATTGAAATAAAGATGGAAACCAGAAGTTAAGGATAGAAATAGAACAAACAAACAAGCTACAAAGCAGAATGAGATAAAAGGTGGAAGAGGCACAAATAACCTCAGTCCCATATGTTAGCTGATCACACGGTTGGTGCAAAGCGTTCTAAGGCGTGCTTTAGAGCAGCAGTGTGATAGTGAGCGTAGCCCTGCAGATTTCAGCTAATACTCTTAGCTGTCTATAAGCAAATCTCTGGATGTTCTTCTCCATCTTTTTCCTCCATCAGAGCAAATCTATGTGGCTTTGACATGTAGGTGGGAGTATGTTACCAGAGCTGAGGAGTTCCCAGAAGTCAATGTTTGATTGGATCATAATGATTCACAAGAATTGCCTCAATCCAATGCATAGTTGGTATGCGGTTGGACAGGCTCTTAAAAACTCGTCTGATCCTTGTTTTCCTGATTCTTCTTGACAGACAACGGGCATAGAACTGTTGGTGAAGGCTGTATCAGTTCCAGAGACAAGTGATAGTGTGGTGAGTATTTCTGTGACATAAATTGGGTCAGAAAGAGACATCCAGAGCTCAAACCTCACTTCAGTCTCATTCTGGTAGAAGATCTTTCTTCATGTTCATAAGGCCATTAAGTTGCATTAAGGAAATGAGGCTGATTGTATACAATCACTGATACTCCAGGGTTAGTTTAATCTTAAAAATGTAAGTTTTACATACTTGTATCCAACATGACATCTTAAACCAAAGCTGTTGCCAGCTTTGTTAGGATTCCGTTCTGTCCTTTAGGGCACTCAGTTTTGCTTCATGTTTCTTAGAACTATGGAAATTGCAATTTATCTGTTATTTTTCCTTAATGCCCTATACTCCCACTACTGAAATGTGGGCCACATGTATAATTTTGTATAAATAGTGCAGGTTACTGTCCCTCTCCACATGTTCTGTTTCCAGTAGGGATGGAAACCAGACTAGTGGCCTTGGAGGTAACCCTTTTATTGGTTGTACGTGAAAAATAGCTATTTCTTTTCTCATACTATCTGAACTGGAGTATTCTGAGTGCAGGGAACTTGTCCCATAGGAATATAAAACTGCTGTACTGAACAAAATGCGGGAGTTACAAGTTCCAGTATTTACTTTCAAAACCTTTCCCTACACTGTATTTTTCCTGGCAAGAGCCTTCTTTCTGCTTCCGCTTTCAGGAATTCTTCATTTTTGACTCTGCAGGAAAAGATCTATTTTCTGAAATGTTGGAGAAACTGGTAAGTCTTATGTAACAGTCCTCTTCTTCCACGGAAGTGCTTTTGCTTTGAAGATCTGAACTCCTCAGTCTGGCATATGTAGCAAACTTTGTCTTTAGTGTAAATGGGAGCAATTACCTCAGTTGCCAATGCATCCTGTTCTACCTCTCTAAAACTTGTAAAAGTACTAGAAGAAATACTTTCCAGAGGAAGGAAAGCAGATAGTCTTTCAGTTTTCTTACAAAAGAAATAGGGATGTTTAACCAAGAATTGCTGCGTGCTGTTGGTTAAAATTATTTCTTAGAAAAACACCTATTTTGCTGCTACTTCAACAGTGGGGATTTTTGTGTTACAGCGATGTGTTTGATCCAGCAGGACTTAATCTTGTCCTTGAGCATAATACTGCCCTTGGTTTTTTTTTCTTCACACATTTGTATCCTTACCTGTACAGTTCTCTGTTGTGTTATCTCATTTTGAGAAGCAGAATCAATTAATTGATATGACGTTTCCGAAGATGGCTAAGTCAACCTAATGGCTCATTGCTCTAAAAGAGGCAATTCCACTTTTGCCCTTGCACCAGGTCTGGTTTGCAAGGGACCTCTCTAGAAGCTGGCTCAGCTTCTCAAATTGGAAGAAAACCTTTCTACTTTTTTCTCTCAGATTAATTTTGCGCTGATTCAGCATGAAGAATCAGCTTCCCCAGGGATCAGATGAGTGCCAGAGCCGATACAAGTAAAGGCGCAGGACCATGCAGACAGGAATGGGGAAAGAGAGCAAGACCCACCTCTCCCAGTGCCAGCTATCCATTTAGTCAGCTCAACTGAAATGTGAAACCTCAGCCAGGGCATAGGATTCCTGTATGTTAGGCTTTTTATTTTTGTCTTAGCATCTGTGTTTGCCGTGTTTATGGACTGGCTGTTGACCGCATCAGTTTCATTAGAGCTGACAATGTTCCTTTCTTGCTGTGCAGTGGGAGCAACCCAACGTCCTGTGCCTTGTCTATGATGTCACTAACGAGCAATCTTTCAACAACTGTGCCAAGTGGCTGGAGAAGCTGAGGGCTCAAGCAGTTGGAATGCACATCCCGGGTAAGAAATGGGTGAGATTCTTGTAATCCGCTCCCCTCTTGTATGATAGCAGTTGTTCCCATTGAGATGTTGCATAGGGCATTTATTTTAAGCCAGGGGCAGGCATGGCTTCCTCCAACTCATTTGCTTTTATCACAAAGCAGATAAGGCATGAATATGTTTCCTTTGTGGAATCTTTTCTAGGTGGTTGTAGACTGTTCTCCACGCCTCCAACTTTTTCAGCTACTTCTACAAATGTTCCAGCATTTATTGCTAACAAGTCAGCATTTCTGGGTTGTTGTTTTTCCTTTGATTCATGTTTTGTTTGGTTTTTTTTTTTTTTCCTGTAGGTGTCTTAGTGGGGAATAAAACAGACCTGGTTGGTCGTCGAGTTGTGGAGGAGAAACAAGCACAGGAGTGGGCTGAGAAACATGGCCTGGAATACTGCGAGATGTCAGTGGTGAGTATCTGCTCATTTCACCGTCTGTGGAAGTGGGTGTTTGTAAAGTTATCTTCTCTTTCAGGTAAAGAAAGATAACTGGGGGGGCTCTTCCACTTGTCTGTCATCTAACTCACCCTTGGTTTTAATCTGGCTTTTTGTGAAGCAGTTAGAGCAGAAATAGTCAAATGCTTATTCCATCTGTCATTCCCAACTTTCTTATTTCTTTACAGAAGGAGATGAAAAATTTTGAGGCCCCTTTCCACATCCTGGCAAAGTCATTCCACCAACTGTACAAAGAGAAAGTGGAAACCTTTCATTCACTAGCTTGAGGGCCGTGACTGGGATGACTTATTTATCCTCTAAGCTTCTCCAAATGCCCAGAATCCTGCAGGATGGAATACAGAGAGAAGAAAAGAGATGAGCTATTTGCTTCTTCATGGTCATCTTCTGGTAATTCAAAATAAACTAGAAATAAGCAAGTGGAAAGACACTCTTCTGAAGTTGCTACCTCAGCATTCCTTTCATGTCCTCTAACTTGGTTCCTCTGCTCACTGAAAATCTGCTAGGTTGGAGGAGGCGGGGAGTAAAAGGGGAGGGCAGAATGGAAATTGCCAGCTCTTTCCTTTGATATTGTCTTGTCTCTTGCCTGAACAGATTTCCTGCTGCTGCAAGCAAGGATTTAGAGGTTTGGAGAAAGAGAGAGGAAGCTGACAGGATGTTTTTCAACTTAAGCAACCCAGCCTTGCTACATATGTTGCAGGGCAGGACTGATTTGGCCCTGCTGCTTGAAATGCAGTTTCAATAGGCCTATGCCCTAAAATAGACACATGGAGACTGAGATGTGTGGGGGTTTAGGTGTGGTTCTAGGAGTGCCCAGAGTTTGAGGCCTGTTATAAAAATGTTACTCTTATCAGTTGTAGGACTGATATGCCAATGACTAATAGGTGTTTTTGACTTCTAGAATCTGCTTCTGTTCTTCAGGGTGGCTCACTTTCACTGCCTGGTAGGAACTGTCTTGCGTCTGTATTGCTGTCACTTGGTAACGCAGTGCCCTCTGCTGGTCCCAGGTCACAAGATTTCTCAAGAAGTTACCTCTCCTGAAAGGAGCAGGACTTCCTATGGGCATATCCAAATTGGCTTGCCTGCAAAATGGGGTCAGATAGAATAAATGGTATTCTTGCTGCAGACAAGTCCAAAATTTAAAACAAATTATCTTTTCTTCTTCATGTCTTGGTCATCTTGTGTGGGTTTGTGTCATTTTTCTTTTTGTCAGCTGAACGTGGCAATGCTATGTTCTCATTAGGTTCAGTTCTCAATCCTTTACTAGATTCAGGGTCCTCTTTGTTGTTAAACTTCCCCTGCTTGTCCTTAAATTTTGTATTGAAAACCGCAATTCTGTTGTCACTAGTGGAAGCAGGACCAAGGAAATGAAAGACAACCTGGCTGAGCTACTCGGACTCAGCCCTGTCTGGGTAGAAGTTTTGGATCAGAAAGGGTAAAAGCCTAGAGAGAACGGCTCTTTTGTGTGGAGTGCTGATGTTGTATGCATGAGAGTCTGTTTGATAATGCCATATGTGAAAGCATCCATGGTAAAGTACCGCCTTGTCACCCAGCCCAACACCAAGGAGTTCAAAACCACAACCTTTTTCTTCTCCCAGATTCTGTTAGCCTTCCTTGTGCAAGGGAAGATGAATTTTGTAGAGAGTAAGCACTGAATGATTTTTCAGTGCAGGCTTTTCAGGAATCTGTCTTTCAAGACTTTTATATGTGCATTTTATAACCATTTTTATGCCCAATGCTAGGAAAAGTACATTGGATTGAGCATAGGAAATATGGCTGCAGATGTTGTAGCAGAGTTTATGAAGCACTTCAAGAATCTGGAGAAGCAGCTGGGCTCATTTTGTTGGCAACGGTGTGTTGAGGCTTGGAATTAGCTAGGGAGCATGAATGCCAGCTAAAGAGGTTAAGTAGGAGCTCAGCCCATAAGAAAAGAAAATGAATAGATTCTTTTGCTAGAAGCTATCTCAAAAAAAAGACATAACCAGCTGGGAGAGCTCTTGCTTCCTCCAAAGAAGGAAGGACTCCTCTGTGGGCTTAGGGTAACTAGAAGACTCACTCTTTTTTGAATTGGATTAGCATTATTGGCATTTGTATTTTACATGGGTGGTCTTGTTAATCCTGGGGAGTGTCTGTTGATTTACATGGGCTGAGTAGAGTCTTGCCTGCAGGTGCTAGTACCTCTGACTATTAAGAGTAAAAGTTATTTTGGATGCTGTGCTGATCTAGTTAAAGAACTGAAGAAGGTTTGTTTTGATTTGGTAGCTCATTTCCCCCTGGTTCTATTGATGATGTGATCACAACACAAGACAGATATTTTTTCATATTGAAAATAGCACGCCAGGTGTGTTTGCCACGTGTGACGTGGTATATAGAGGGGATGAATGCCTTGGGAATGGGTGAGAAAATGAATCCTATGCAATTTCTAACCAGGGAATTCAATCTCTCTGCACCAGAAGGGCCTCCCATAACTTCAAATAAACAATCTAAATGCACCACTAAGATGAAGATTGGTGAACACTGTTTTATTAAATGAATGCAAAAGCTGGAGGATCTCATTAAGGGAATGCTTGCAGTGGTGATTTGTGATTTATAGGGAAGCTGCTTTTGAGAGGTTAGTGAAGAAAAATCCATCCCATGCAGGGAAAGATATATTGTCTGAGAGAGGAAATGTATGATCTAATTAGCTAGCAGTAGGGAATCACCCACTGCCCATTTCCCTCTTTCCACAGGCCATGACTAGAATTAGAAAAGAGGTTGTGTCAAAAGCGCGTTGCCCAACTTGCTTTTTACAGGACTATTTCGACCACTAATGTAGATGCAATTTCACGTCCTTCAAAATGGTATGTTTGACCATAACTATCTCAGTCCTTCCAACTGCATTTTAAAAGCATAATATATTGTCCTTGCTGGCTAACGTACTATATAATACCAGCATGATGCAGGCAATGCTTGTTGCTATTTTCCTAGCTTATTTGTGACCTTGTAGAGGAAGTAGTGAAGAGTGGGTAAAGAACATGGGAGCCAGATACAGGAAGGCTGCAAAAAATAGTTTTGTGTCTGTGTGGAGGAGCTTAGGGTAGTGAGTATGTGAGCTAGACAAGCAGGATAAGAGTCTGAAGCAATTATTAAGTTTCTCTTACCGTTTTCAGTAACTGCTGTGGTCATGTCTGTAGGGTGAGGATGTGTGTTTGCTGCTTGTAGCCTTAGCATCGCTCTGAATGACAAACCCCGTGGAGAACAGTGGGAGGAAGGCAGAAAGCCTGTCTGCTGACCGGGAAGCTTGTCGTCTTCTTACAGCTCCCCTGCTTTGTCCAGCTGTGCAGTGCTGCAGGTGCTCAGCATGGGTGTTTACAACCCAGAAGAGACCCAGCTCAACCAGAACTGAATTTTCAAAAGAAGGGGGAGGGAATAAACAGGCCTTTAACCATTTTTAAGAGAGACATAGTCCTTCTTTTTCCTGCTTGCTTGTTGGATTAGTCAATAACATTCTTTCCTCCTTGAAGTCCCTCCTCCTTACTTTTCCTTTGGTCCTCATGGTTGTGCTGCACAGAATCCCTGTTATACTTGTGCCCTGCTTTACTTAGCTTGATACATCACCAGCTGATTTTTTTTTCATCCTTCTAATTTCTGCATTATCTATTCCCAAGGCTGCAAGACATTTCTTCTTAGAGAGATTAATAGACAAAAGAAAACAAAAGTGGAATTTTTAGTCAAATTGTTTTGGAAGAAAGAACCTTAAGAAGCTGACTGACACTCTGAAATTTTACTGGGAATTCATTTGTGTAAAGTTGTCATATTAAAGGTGCTTTAATGGTTTTGTTTTGGCTTGCCAGACATATTCTACTGTGGGGTGAAATGCAGGATGTAAAATTCCAGAAAGATCAGGTTTTATTGTGGGAGTTAATAGGAGTTTCAAAGCTGATCATACTGTGATAAGATCTGTTCAGTTTTAACAATGGAGTGGCCACTGCTGTTCATAATAAAGCATTAAATATACTGAAATGGGCCTGTCAAAACAGTTTTTTCTACGGATTTGTTCATTTTAGAGACTTAAAACTTAAGAAAGGACATCTTTCAGAAAGCTCATCTGATAAATGACACCATTTGGACCAGGGTTATTTCTGATATAACTTCAGTGACTTAAAGGGCTGGATTTAGTCTTTTATGCCAATTGACTCCCCTGGGTAAGCTTCATTTCTTTACCCGCTATACATCTTGGACCGATCTGACCTGATAGCAAAAGACACATGATGTTGTTGAAAATGAAATACTGCCTTGGGGCAGAAGGATAAACTTTGTGGCCTCCTGAGGTCCTCCCAGCAATACTTTCTATAATTCTATTAGATTAAGTGGAGAAAGAAGTAGCGTGGAAAGCACAAAACAGGCTAAGTCATAAACTAGCAATTAAACTGGGAGCTGGGTTGGGCTACAGCAGAAAACGTACAATCTATCCCAATTAAGGGCTGTATCTCAAGAGAAACCAGGAGCCTGACGCAGGTGCTGACAGCAGGGAAAACACTGCATTTCTCTTCTGTAGGCAGCAACTGCTTTCTACTGGTGCTTATACAGATCCATGGGGGTCCACAACTTGCTCAAGACTGTGCTCTGCTTTTGATAATTACTGTATCTATGATGTTCAGGTGGCAACTGCTTGCAGTCGTTGTCTCATCTGCCTGTATAAAGTCAGCAGTGTGACAGCAGATTACCTGCTAGTAGGAGGAAGACATTCCTATTCTTGACACCATCTATGATGGGACCTCTCTCTCCCCATGCATTCTCAGTCCTTCTTTTCCTACCTCATATCTACTTGATGGAGAATATCTGCCTCTGCTTGTTGTTAGCAAGTAATTTTTCCATGTTGCAGATGGTACTCCATTGAAGCTGGGGCTAAGGGACTTCTAGGACCTTTCGCAGCGGAGGTGGAGTCTGAGCAGGAGCTCTTCAAGGGCTATCTTGGCCCCTGCAACATCTCTCCTAGCCTAAGGGCACATCATCTCTCTGCTTCTCGCATCCTATTTCCTCCTCCTGCTGTCATCTTGCCTGGAGAACAATGTCTTCTGTGCCAGTTGCCCTTGGCTCTGTTGACCCGGAACAACAATGCTTGGGGGAGGGAGAAAGAAGAGAGCTGCTCAGTCTCTAGTCTTTTCAGGCCTCTTTAGGTGTTGCGACTCCCTGTTGAAGTCACCCGAGAGATGGGGATGTTGCTCAGTCTAGAGTGTAATTTCCTGGCAGGAGACCCCTACTGAGTCCTGGCAGCCTTGTCTTGGCTCTTCAGAGGTTGCTGCAGTGTAACTTTCGCAGACACTGGCTGCTCTCATTCTGACTTGGAGTTTTGTTAGGGTTTTTTTGGTGTTGGTTTTTGTTTTTTTTTTTACTCCTTGGGGGACTTTCTCTCATTCTTCTGTCACAGCTTCACATATTTCCTCCCCTAGAGCTGTTTGTCAAGAGAAGCCTGGAATTGCTCTCTTTCCTGGTCTCTGAGATCAAATCCAAATCTGGCAATGTTTAAAAGGGAAATGTGACAGACCCCACATGTCAAGCCAGGGTCGGGGATGGGGTCAGCTTGATGAGTTTCCCTCCAGCCAGATTTGCATCAATTGGAGAAATGTGGAGCCTGTAATCTTTCTGCACAAGTACTGGAAAAAATACACAATATGAGGGCTTCAAGTTAGGGATTGTGAGCGGGAAAGTATAAAGGCAGAAATGATCAGCTGCTGTGTCCCAAACAGGGGAAATGCAGGAGCAGCAGGAGAACAGGAATATGTAGGAAGGAGTGGGGTCTATATCCCTTCATGAAGAGCCCAAAGGATTTGCTGAGGCAGAGTGGGAGGGTGGGAGTTAGGGGTGGGAAGACCTAAGGCTTTTCCTGGCTTGTAGAATGATGTATGGAAATGAAGTGGGAGGGAAAGTAATTTTTGCATGAGCTGTTGAGGGAAAATGAGGATACAGGGTAGAGGTGGATGACACTGCAGGTGGGAGGGCAGGTGGTAAGAATAAATAACTGAACAGAGATTGTTCAGGGCCAAGATCTTGGGGCCAAGGTCGGTTTGGGGAATTCAGAGCCGTGATGAGGACGGTCAATGGTAGCCATCAGTTTAGGTTCAAGATGTAGGGCCAGCATTAGAACAAGGCAGGATGATTTAGAACATTAAAACAAAGCAAGTCTGCATGACAGGGATGAGATTTGATAGCAGGAATCCAGAATGATAAGGCTTGGAGTAGTGTGGGGAGATAGAACAGCAAGCTGTGACGCTGAGAGGAGCAGTGGTGAGTGGAGACAGCTTGTCCAGATGAGACCAGGAAAAATAGAGTAGATAAGCTAAGGACAGTATCAGACTATCAGGGTGGAAGAGTGTGAAGAGATGTTGGAAATTCAGATTGTGTACAGTTCTTGGGGATTTCTGAGTGGAGGGAAGTAGACGCCTACTATTGTTACCCACACATCTTTGTATCATTTAAAACACAAATTAGTTTTGACACTATCTCTGGGTTTTTTGCCAGAAACTGGGGTGATCTATTTGCTTAAAACTCTTTCTTTTTTTTTTCTTTTTTTTTTTACAGTAACAGTAGAAAAAATTTGGACAGGTTCTTTATCATCAAGGGTGGGGGGCACTTCAAGATGTGATTTATCTCACCCCAAAATGTCAGAGGACTCATCCACCTGAAGCACCTGTTTTGCACTACTGGCTCCAGCAGAAGGGAGAATGTCCTTTTTAAAACAGATGCTCCACATTTAGAGGGGTAATGTTAGGACAGATTCCCTCCACCCCCAGAGGCGATGGGGGACGTATGCACTGTAAAAAACCAGAAGAATCATCTAACACTTGTCTTTGGTGCTAATTTGTGAAGTTTTTTTTCTTTTTTTTTTCTTTTTTTTGTGTGGAGGGAGGAAGGTACAGGGGACAGGGAACAACACACAAGCCAATGCCTCATTTTGCTGCAGCATCCTGAATACATTATGTTCATCCATTCAGGGAATGGAAAGAGAACCTGCACCTCACCTGACCAAACAGAAGTGCCCTCTACGACTCAAGTGTTGACATCTTCCCAACAAAAACTTCACAATCGGTTCATACAGCAGAAGGCCTCCCCAGAATATCAATACTTCACCTCAAAAAATAGAAAAATGCAATGTGTATGAGGTCAATGTAAAGCAGAGGGAAATCACTCTGTTCATGAATAAAATTACCTACAATAAAAATGCCTTCAGCTCTGCATGGGAGGAATCTCTTTTCTGCGTTGATTTCCCTTCTCTGCTTTTGCTGATGTATTTTTATTCCCATGAAGCCTCACTTTCTCTTAGTCCCAACAGTTGTGCGTGGCCATTGTGTGCCATTTCTAGGATTTTGGTTTTGTGATGTTGGGTGACATCGCTTTGGGGACTGTGAAACCAGAAGTTTTGAAATTCAGGTTGCAGTTGAAGCAGTCAGCTTCTAAGAACAGCAGAAGAGAGTATCTAGGAAAGGCGTCTTACAGGGTTGAGATAATGCTTTTCTGTGCTATTGTCAGCAGAGAGGGCTCAGGCTGCAGTGAACGGGAAAATGTGAGTCAGGGACGGAACGCTGGTGGGTTTGGACATGGGTAACAAGAGTGGGTTTCTTGTAACTGAGGTAAAGGCAGAGGAAAGGATGGTGCAAGTCTCTGCGTGCGTGTGTCTGGGGAAGTAGTGGAGGAGGTAAAGGAGCATTCTTGGACACTGTCATGAAACCGAGTAAGGGCAGGAGGACAGTTCTGGTACAAGTGAAAGCAGAATAATGCAGACTCTGTCCTGTAGTTTCTGCACTTATTGAGACCTGGGGATATTTCCCTTAAGTGCACTAAGTCGTTGCCCTAGATGGCCCTCCCAGCTAGGGCTGCTGGTCGGCTGGCTTTCCCTCCTCACCAAGACAGAAGTGATCACTGCATGCTGTCTCAGCCCACAACCATTTTGATCTATCTGATTCCTCTACACTGTCCCTGCCTCTTACCCTTTTCCTCCTGTCTCTGCTCATGGATGTCTTGTAACTCTATATCCCCACAATTCTGCTGCACCTCTTGTGCTAGCAGCCCTCCCCATTACCTTAAGACTGCTTAGATCCCCCCAGGTACTTTTCTTTATGGGGTTGTAAGCTGCTGTGAGAAAAAACAACCAACCACTGGTCTTTCTATCCACCACCACCCTCTCCTACCCTCTCCTCTCCATCTGGTATGAGGGTAGAGCTTGTGCCTTGTTCAGCTGGCTAGTTCTGGCACAAAACTGGGCTGGTATAGGCGCGAGGGAGCTGTGCCCATGCTGGATGTGTGTCTCCGCGCGGGTGAGGGGCATGGGAGGCAGGCACCCTTTCCTCCTTTTATCAGACTGCGCTCATTTATTATACCATCTGTTTTCCCAGTGCTGGAGATGATGCTGGGGATATGTGACTTGGGGCACTCAGGCAGAAACTGGCCTGCACAAGGCCGGCCATGTGTTTGCCTCCTAGCAATGCAGCGGTCAGCAGCAAATTCTTTGCCGCCGCCTCCTCTCAGTATGGGAGAGAGCAAGCGTGGGCCTGGGTGTGTAGGAGACACAAAGAGATGAAACGTGTGAAGGGGGGGGAAGAAGGGGAGAGAGAGAGAGAGAGAAACGGGCTGGGGTACATGTGTATCAGCTGGAGAGAACTGTGGGAAGGAGGGACAGACAGATGGGCAGTCAAGGAGAAGGAGAGAGGAGCGGATTGTAGAGAAGGCAAGACAGAAGAACTGGGTGGGGGGAGACAAAGGAATGGACTGGCTGGGGGACAGCGAGAGACGGGCTGTGAAGGAAGGAAGGGAAGACAGGCAGGTTTAGCAGGTGCGTGGTGTGGAGATAGATGGATTGTCTGTGGGAGAGAGATGCGTGTCAGCCAGGTACTACAGTGATAGGTAAGTAGATAACTACAGAGATGGAGATAAAGAGGGAGGGGTGGGAAGTGTATTTATATGGGCCTGTGTAAGGGGGAGCTGAATGAATAGCAGTGAGGAAGAAGAGCCAGAAGGAAAAGGGA